AACAACTTCGAACTATTCCTTTTTTTCTCTCAATTTTATATGATTTTAATAAGTTTGGCAACTTCACGAATTGAGAGAACGGCTTTACCTTACTATTTTTCTATCATGCGATAGCCAACATTTTAAAATCAAGACATTTTTAACAAGATAGAAGTGACAACTAGCTCGAACTCTCTTGTAGCTAGTTATAATGTAAAAAAACTGTAAACAAACAAATAAAAAACTAACCCTAAGAGGTGCGCGTGCTATGTTCGCTACCAATTAGCATCAATTGAACCTCATCATGGTGAAATTATACCAGGTGTAGTAATAAGAGCGAGATGAAAGATTTGACCTTATCTTATTTGAAAATTTGCTTTTAAAAATTTGTATAAGTCGCATGTCAGGAAAATAAAACGAGCAGCTATTTTATTAATTCACCTGCTTATAATTTCATCATGGAAATGCATCAGCATAAATACGTACATATGTATGTACGTATACTAATTTTAAGTATTACTTCAATATTACTTTCAGAGAATTTTAGCTGCATTCGCATCTTATATGCACATATACATATGGACACAAAAGAATACCTCATAAAGGAAACCACGTCATTAAATGAAATAAATGTTTAATGAAACTGTTTTAAACATTTATTTGTTTCTAGTCGCCCAATGTTTTTGCGTTTTGTTAGATATTTACTTCTAAAAAACATCCCCACTTATAAAAAAAAAACAATTTAATGTTTTCTTATACATACGCCTCAGGGTTGTTGCGAATATTATTCCAAAATAAAAGGCCTTTCCGGATAATAAACAAATGGCCAGTCCAAATTAAACAAATTTGGTATCACATGAAAGAGGACTGAAATAGCTTTTAAACAGAAATAACGAACGACCTCTATTTATATTTTTCTATAATTCTATACTAAAAAAAGGCATATACCTGACACCAGGTTTGTTCTATGGTGATTAACATTTTTTATTGAAATATTTTTCAATATGTGGCTTTCCTCCTTTAGGCATTTCAGTTTTAAAGCTATTTAAGTCCTCTTTCATTTGATACCAAACTTGTTTAATTTGGATAAGCCGTTTGTTTATTATCCGGAAAGGACTTTTATTTGGGAATAATATTCGCAACAATCCTGATACGTATGTATATCAGTGTAAATCTAGGTCCTGACGTGGTTATGTATGCATAATAATTGCTGTATTTTTTTGTAAGCGAGCGACAAAAGAACGTTCAACTCGGGTAAAATTTCCTCTTAGCTACTTAACTTAAGCAACCCTGCTGGTAGCTGGCAAGAGACATGTGATTAGTTTAACGGGATTTAGACACAAAAAACAATAAAAATTAGTTATTATGCGAGGTACTTGCGTAATATATATACTTATTTAAAATATAAATCATGTATATACGAAAACAAAAATTTCCCTATCCAATTTCCCAGTAACAATTCCCAATAGAGCAGTTTTTTCATTTAACAACACTACTCTTCAGGTCGCGTATTTTTTAACCTACCTGGCTGAACTCGGATAAATAGCCGAGTTTGTGTTGTTGCTTTGCGTGTATTTCGTCATTTATGTGAGTGTTATTTGTAGCTCGATTGCAAAAGAATGGACCTATTGTAAGAAAATTCTCTTACTCAGTTCTGAAATTCCGTGTGCTTCAGGCAACCTAGTCTTCTAACTTCGCAACTAGGCGCCTTAAAGTATCGCACCACTTTCCATACAATGCAACGGTCTTAGTTCTTGCTCCTTTTCATTTTTGTATATGTATAGGTGCATTCTTTTGCAACCGAGCTACAAAAGAACACTCGCTTAAATGACAAAATACACGCAAAGCAACAACACAAACTCGGCTATTTATCCGAGCTCAGGTCCGGTTAAAAAATACGCGACCTGAAGGGTAGTGTTGGTAAGTGAAAAAATTGCTCTATTGTGAATTGTTAATGGGAATGGGTTATATACGTGACTTATATTTTAAAAGAATATATATATTACGCAAATACCTCGCATAATTACTCATTTAAATTGGTTTTTATATCTAAATCCCGTTAAACTAATCACATGTTTCTTGCCAGCTACCAACAGGGCAGCTTAAGTAGCTAAAATGAAATTTTACCCGAGTTGAGCGTTCTTTTGTCGCTCACTTACAAAAAAATGGAGCTTATGTATCTATAAATGCATATGGTCGAAAAACAAAAAAAAAAATTACACAATTCAAAACTATCTCAAAGAACGCAATTGAATTTTTAATGAAAATTAGAAACTCCCAACTTGAAAAGGGTTAAAAGTTATTCATCATTTGACATTATAGTCGGTGTTCAAAAGAGAGAAATGTGAAAATCACTTCTACCTTGTTTAATATTCCTTGTTTAAAATCATACAAAATTGAGAGTAAAAAAAGGATTTGTAAAGTAGTTTTTGTTTGCGATTGAAAATGAGAATGTGTGTGAGTTTGTGTGTAAAATTTTAAAATTAAATTGCTTGCAAACGTTCTACGTTCCTATTTTTTTTATCATGCCTATGCCTTTAGTGGGACAGAAAACAATGGATCTTGGATACTTTGTCTCAATATTTGCCTACTTCAAAAATTTTATGTTGAACGATCACAGTACGAACTCATATTTAATAAGTTCAGTCAAAAAAGCATGAACATTTTTTTTTATAAATAAGATTCCTTGAAATCTTCAACTATCTTGAAGCAGACGGCTGCGTTGGTCCGGATCAACTCGTTAATTCGGAATCACCTCGGAAATTAACTGCAGCTAATCCGGATTAAGTCCTAGAGTTATACCCAAAATTAATTCGGATCAAGGGAATTTTCGATAAAAAAAGTGTATGGAATGCACGGTGCAGCGAACAAAGGTGGCGCCATCAGTGGTACCGCTACTTTGGTTTTGCCGATTTTGACAGTTGTGGTAACTTGTAAATAAACCTTTGTTTACAAATCAGCGCCAAAGAGAATTTTAATTATAAGTGAAAAATCAGTTTAAATGGTGTTAATTTGCAATTTGTTAGTGATTTTTGAGTTGAAGACTGCAAGACTGCTTCACGATTTGCAGGTTTTACAGGATTTGCAGGAACAGCTGTTTTCTCCATTAATAAACCTTATGGAAGGTGGTCACCTGGAACGGCTTCCTGTAAAAACCTGCAAATCGTGAAGCATCTGGAACGCGACTATTCTTGTATGGAATGCATATTTTTGTCCGTTGACGGATTCCATTTTCGGATACTTTGACGATCCGTTTCCCACTATCGTGTGCGGCAGAAACGTATGTACAGACAAGTGTTGAGAAACGGATACGTTTTTGGCTGTTTTTCTGAAACTTATCTGATTGAATTTTTCGTTAAAAATGCTTTCCTTCTGCACTTCACAGATGCTTTTTCATGGTTCGAAAAATAAATAAATAAAGACCTGACGAAATTCGAACCGGGCACCTTTATAAAGCTAACAAATAGTGGCACGCTCCTCTACTCGCTCGGCCACTGCAGACTATGTATACATGCTTTGAAATGTTCAGCTTGGACAAATAAAATGCAATTATTGTTTTCAATTAACATCATCTTTCTCGAATGTTTCGGACATTTCCAGAAACCATAATGAAAGATAATTTTTCCGCTTGTGAATGGCATAACCAGAGTTAACATTCTGTCAAAATGCTTACCCCATTTTAAAATGGGCACGGTAGTCCCTAGCCGGGTCAGAGATGGGAAGGGTGACTTTTCGTGCGGTTTAGTTTTTTGTCCAATGATTTCGAGCTATTCAGCCCTATCGCCAATTCCCTGTGAATAAATCTTTCCCATAATTTAACAAGCAAAACAAAAACCAATTGGGAAAAATTGTTTTTGTTTTGCTTATAATTTTTTAATTTCGGGCTATTCGGCATTTGTAGTCAAGGGTCTACGCATTATTTTAACACTCACTTTTGTAAATTTTGGTCACTAATTTAGTTACCAATTGGGTTTGAAATATGCCCTTTTTTGTATAATTCGGAAATTAGCGAATATTTATCACTCCTATTCTCCTTAAAGCAGCCACTTCAATACATTTTTGTATTCCCCTTCACTTTACACTTTACTCGATTAGTAAGAACATGCTTTACGACTTTAATATTGACCAATTAATCATAATTCATTAAATAAAAACACCTTCAAAATCACACGTCTGACTTTGGTTGCATATGCAAATTAAATGGCGGAGTTCAGCTGTCAAACTCCAAAATATGCAAAAGAACAAAAGACAAAAGAAGATAGAATATAACCCAGTAGGCATTAAAAGTATACAAAGGTGTTCTCTGCAAAAGCTGTTCAGCTCCTTTCTTCGCAAAACAGAAAGGAGAATTCTACTGCCTGAGGGTTATAATCCCTAAGTGCGGCCGAAGGCCGCCTACGCATCAAGGTGTTCTCTGCAAAAGGTGTTGAGCCCCCCTTCTTTGGCAACACAGAAAGGAGAATTCTACTGCCTGAGGGTTATAATCCCTAAGTGCTGCCGAAGGCCGCCTACGCAGAAAGGTGTTCTGGGGGGTTAGCCTTTTTAGAAAGCGGGGACTGTCCCCTTTCTAGTGCGGTGGGGTTGGGGGCCCCGCCCCTTCCCCCTCCGCCCAAACCCCAAAAACGATGTGAGCGCTACTAAACATTTCCCAATACTTGTTCATGTGAAATTCGATATAGAGCCGATTGTGTCCAAATGAGTGGCCCGATCCAAAGAAAAATTTACATACTGACTTTATAAGATGGCTAATGAGTGGGGTTTTAGGTGTCACTTCGCCTCCTCCTCTGCCACCCAACCAAAACCATTGTACAAATAACCGAACATTTCCCCATTTATTTAATTACATTAGCAACCACCGATTCGCCAACACTTGACGAGTGGCGCAACGAACCATATTAATGAGGTACAACCAAACTCATAGTCCATCTTTGCAACCTTTGTTGTTGCTTTTACATACAAAAAGTCGGGTTAAGCGAGCGGAACTCAAACACAGCGAGCATATTGCCACACTTGTTTTTGGAACTCAATCAGCCTTATCAGGAGTTTAATTTTTCCCCAACCGGTTCACTTTTTACTTTTGGTTTCCATGGTTTTACTATGGACAGATGACAAATTTTCGGGTGAATTTTTTTCAGGCGAAACTCAGGATAAGGCAAAATATTTCCAACATAAAATGAGCAAATAGGCATGCAAATTAAATTTCTGTGAGCATAATACACACGTACCTTTTTTCTCAGCTCAGGTTTGCCCTTTTTCACGGTAGCGACGAACATGTCACCAACTCCAGCAGCGGGCAGACGATTCAATCGACCACGTATACCATGCACAGCAATAACGTACAGATTCTTAGCACCTAGTAGAAATTTTAATAAAATCATCATAATCAACCCACATAGACGAACAAACTCATCTATGTACCTGTATTATCGGCGCAATTCATCACAGCGCCCACTGGCAAACCGAGGGAAATGCGGAACTTTCCTCCCGCGGTACCACCACGTCCTGCAATTCACAATAAAAATATTTTCTATATCACATTCAAACATATTCATTTTAACGAATTTCACAATATTTTATTTTGTATTCTGTATAAATTTCACGATTTTCTCCGATTATTTTTACCTCTTTTCGACATTTTGCTGCTCGCTTGATAAGAAAAGGAAGTAAAAGAAAGAGACCGTCCAACAAATATATATGCAAACGAAGTATCGATGTTTTTCAAACATCGATAATATCGGTTCAATTTTCTATATTTGGCATCGATGTTTACAATTTACTAAGGCCCTGTCTCCACAGGAAAACACTGATGTCGTGCTACGCACGTTACAAAATAAATTTCCAATGGAGAACGCCCATTTCTCATGGGCTGCTCATCATGAAAAATTAAATCATGCGCTTTCAGTGATATTTAAGCGATTTTCAATAAATTGTTTGTGCAAATGTAATTACAAGGAAGTGGGCGGTGATTGGTTGCAAAAACACGTACAGAAATAATGCTACAAATTGCTTGCATTTTTTTCTTTATGCTTCGTCTTCATATTCTTTGTTTACTTTTCAAAGATAGTAACATTGGCGCCGAAATTACAAACGTCAGCCCGAAAATTACTTTTTTTGCTTCATCTTGTCAGATCTTGTGTAGTTGGATCACGGGCAGCAAAATAGTCAGCGCTTATTGCTTGACATCATTGCAGGAAACTCGATAATTTGACAGCCATATTTTCATTTGAAAGAAAGCGGCTGGTGATAACATCGATGAAATTTTGATATTAAATCCAAATAAAAATCTGTTCCCTATTCGATTATTTATGATTACGTTTTATAAAATTTTTCAGCAAGCTTTTTAAAGATTTAAATGTTTTTAAACACCGAAATTGAGAGAATGTTGTCTGGTGGAGTCATGCGGCAAATGCTTATTTCAAGGCATCAAAATGCTCAAACACATAAACTTGCAATCAGCGAGTGTTAACATCAGGAGCGCGCCTTCTCTTTTGCATAAATACGTTTTTTGATTTGATGAAAAGAGAAGGCACGCTCCTGATGTTCACACTCGCTACAATTATAACGTGTTGTCTCTTCTTATAGATTCACGTTCTTTGCCTGTGAAGTTCTGCAGTAACATCGCGAAAATGACGATACATCGATGGAAGTTTTACCGATGTTTTAAACATCGAATTTAAGGAGACTCTCCGACTTTCTTTCGGTACGTTTGACTCATAAACCAACTAACAAGATCACGCAATCGGAAAAGAATGAAAAAAGTAAATTTCTGAGCGTTTTTGACATTTGCCTAAGAATGGAAACAAACAAAGAAAACGAAAAAGGCGCGGTGATTGGGTGCGATTAAATTGGTATTTATTATAAAATATACGAGGTGAAACTTGATGACAATTGGCAAAAAAAAGTTCATAAAATGTGGATTTCATGATTGAGAGTGTTATACAATCGCATATCATCTGCACGGGTCGATTTTTCATTGCCAACGTTCTGGCCACAAACGTGCACCCACTTTTCACGAAAGGCTTTTTGGCTGACCAAACAAACGCACAAACTTGTTCCAATCACCAAGCACTTCATTTTATATCATAAATTTTTAATAAATCAAAATTAAAATTAAAATCGCTCATAAAGCATACAAATTGCTAAAAAAGCCATTCCGAAGCGATAGAAGACGATGTAAACAAAACGGGAAAACATCAAAAACGCTACGAAAACTTTTTTCTGAAATTCGATTACAAATACAACGATGGCGGATTGCGCTATCTTATGTCGTTGGTTCATGCGTTTGACTCATGATGCAATAATACAAGGTGGTATCAGTTGTGACAGCTCGATTTGACACTGCCTTAGCTCAGTAGAATGAGAAGAAAAACGGGAAGATATAAATACCCATTTGTGGGAAAAATATAAAATTTCATATTTTCGTCCAAACAAAATTTGCTTTTTTATAGTATATTCGTAATGAAATGAAATAAAATAAGATAAAACACTTTTTTAAGAAAACAAAATGTGTATACTGAGAAAAAATATTTAAAAAAATCAACTATATTATTAGGCAAAGAATTGTTAATGAAGTAACACTGTTTCACCTAAGGCAGTCAATATGGCGGAATTAGAGCGAGAAGTTGCCAACCGATAACACTTTGTATTATTGCATCATTTGTTCGACTCACCTTAAATAATATATTGAGATTTTTTTTGTTATTTATGCCCTTGGTAATTGTGCACTTCATGGTCACCACCGAAAATTTATGCAAAATAATCGAAAGGGATATCAAACGACGCGTTTGCCAGTATTAAGAATCCGAAGGCGGAACCTGATTTTTTTAAACCGTCCAAAAGTTATTTGCAAAATACCGTCTCATTCAGCTCAACATTGTAGATGTTCACTATAGTACTTTTCTGAATTTGTAACAAAAAAATTGCGAAACTGGGTACTGTTTAGTAATACTAGGTTCACATATAAGTAGATTATACTCATTTTCGAGCTTAACTCCCTAATCTGTAATCAGAACAAGAGATTAGCTATATAAAATTCGTCCCTTGTTGATCTGTAATTATAAAATAATCTCAGATTTAACCGATAACTTTTCGGTGTCCTTCCTAGTTTTATCGATTGTTTGTGCGAAATGCCAAATGTAAAAGTAAAGAAAAGTGGACGCCACGGTGCAGCGAACAAAGGTGGCGCCGTCAGTGGTACCGCTACTTTGGTTTTGCCGATTTTGACAGTTGTGGTAACTTGTAAATAAACCTTTGTTTACAAATCAGCAAAAGAAATTTTAATTATAAGTGTAAAATCAGTTTAAATTGTGTTAATTTGCAATTTGTGAGCGATTTTTGAGTTGAAGACTGCGTAAAAACTAATACAATGAAGTGCTGTGTGTTAAAGTGCGACAGCCGCCAAGATGCAAGAAGCGTAGATGCAAGTGTAGCGCTGGGACGAATCGCTGCATTTTGTGAACCGCTTTGGCAGTTTCAACTCGTTCTTCTTTTCGCTCTATTCTTTGTTTACTTGTGGTACACAAATGTCAACGCCCAGGACGGCGCAATCTTGTATTCTATCATTCTTGCGCCGGCATATGAAATTGAACACAGCCAATGCGAAGTTCGCTCGTCGGCGTTTCGTGGCGATAGATTTATTTCTATCGCTTTGCTCCCGCTAGGGCAGGCACCTTGACGTTGGTGCGGGGGCTTAGCTGAACCATCAACCGGGACGCATCAGGGGGAGCTAGCGTGCACGTATCAGCACCTCCCATGTATGGCACGAGCGCGCTGCACTGCTCTGATGCGGCCCGCTGATGGACAGCGACCAAGAACTGCCACCCCCCCTAATCCAGGGTGTAATGCGACACCGTGCCCATTGGAGGGTTTGCAGCCAGGGGGGTCAACAATCCGGCTGTATTATAACGGCGCCTTCCTGACACCGGGCCGCCTCAGGGAGTAACGGTGGCCTTACCGTGGCAAGGGGCGCTACCACGGCGGACGACTTGAGATCCCCGGAACCATATTTTGACTGCTGAGCTCGCCCTGTCGAGCAGGTGGTCGTAAGAACAAGATGAGCAACAAAAACAACAACAAAAAGAATAAAAATAAAAACACAAAAACCAAACGATGGCTTGACTGCATGAAAGGCCTCTCGCCAGAAGAGGCGGCGTTATTTGCCGAGCACGCCCGCGATGACGACGGCCCCTCCTGCAGTAGAAGCAGATCAAGCCGAAAGAGAGGCGGGAAGACGCCCGCCGGTGAAAGCAGGGAACAAAGACCCCAAATAAGCAGCGAGGATGAGAGAGACACGAGCCAGCAACACCCAAAGAGTGCCTATGAGACAGCGACAGACTGGAGAGTGGCCGAGGATAACGTAACTCGCCCCTCCGAACAGCAACCGAGCACATATGCTCACCACAAACGGCATGGGTCCGCCGAGAGAGGCGAAGGAATATGGCTGGAGGGAAGAAAACCCTCGCCAAAACGCGGAAACACTCGCAGGCGCCGGAGGAATGAGTCCGATAGCAGCTCAGGTGATAGCCACACCACTGAATCCCAGCGAAAACGGCCTTCCCACCACCGGGAAGTAGCCCAAAGAAAACACGGGATCGGACAAAATGAGCCAGCGACTAACCAGCCCCGGCATCACGAGGACTCGCGGAGGAGGCTCGAGGGCATAAGGACCTCGCCTCAACGCGACGCCCAGCGGCGTGCAGACACGCTCAGGAGGCTGGAGGGCAGAACGACCTCGCCTCCCCCCGGCGGACAACAGCAGGAGATACAACAACTGGGGCTTGAGGGCAGAATGACCTCGTCTCATCGCGATGACCAGCATAGGGCTGATCCATGCAGGAGGCTGGAGGGTGAACAAACCTCGCCTGCAGACGCTGCACGGAGAAAAGAGCCCAAACACAGAGGGATGGGGGGCAGAGGGACCTCACCTCCACACAACCCGCAGCAAAGAGAATCCCAACACATGAGACTTGAGGGCAGTATGACCTCGTCTCACTTCGACCACACGCGCAATGAAGACACGAGCAGGAGGCTGGAGGGCCGAACGACCTCGCCTCCCATCAACTTTCAGCAAGGAGGGTCCCAACACCTGAGACTCGAGGGCAGGATGACCTCGTCTCACTACGACCAAACGCGAAGGGAATATACGAGCAGGAGGCTAGAGGGCAGAATGACCTCGCCCCCAGGCTCCCACTATCACTCTGACCCAACGACAAGGACATCGCAACCAGAGAGACGAGACCGCAGACACCAAATTGCTGACTCGGACAGCAGCTCAGATGGGCAATGGACCATCGCGACGAATCGCAAGCGTCATCAATACGTGCCCGAGGGAAACAAAACCTTGCCACACTACACCCAGGGGAAGGGAATCTCGAGCACAGGCTGGAGGGCAACACGACCTCGCCTGTGCGACAGCACCGACCACAACATATGGTCCACGGCAGGGCCGAGGATAGAGAAGCCATGCCACCCCATGCAAAAGATCAACGGCATGCGAAGAGCAGGACCGCCACAAACAGGTTCGAGGGCCGTATGACCTCACCCCAACGAGCATACCACCGTATGGACGGCAGATGGGCTATTAACTCGTTCGAGCCCTACAAGACCCCTGGGGTAGACGGTCTATGGCCGATTCTACTCCAGAAAGAACTGGATCTCCTAACCCCGATCCTAACCAATGTTATGCGGGAAAGTCTGGCACTGGCATATCTCCCACAACTGTGGAGAAGGGCCAA